GAACCGCCCAAGAACAAACAAATAAATACAGTTATATTAAATATTTATATTTATATTCATTTATTTATATTTATATTTATATTTATTTATATTTATTTATATTTATTTATATTTATTTATATTTCTTACTGGCTGGTTTAATTTCTATAACAAGCGAAGATTTATTAATTATTTGTTTTTTTTCTTTTTTTTCAGTTTTTTTTTTTTCTTTCAGTTTTTTTAGTTCTTCTTCGTTGTCATCGTCACCTGCAGCAACAAAAATAAATAAATAAAATAAAATAAATAAAATAAAATAAATAAAATAAATAAAAATATATTTAATAAAAAAGAATTGGGGTGAAAGGAGACAGATAAAGATACCATCTATTCTCTAACTTTATTTGTCTCCTTTTTATTTATTTGTATTTATATTTATATTTATATTTATTTTATTTATTTATTTTATTTATTTTATTTATTTATTTTATTTTTATTTTTTTAATTTATTTCTATATGTCTCCTCTCCTGCACCGCTGTTCCCTTGTCTATATATATACACTCTATAAACCCCATACATATATACAAAAAAAAAAAAAAAAAAGAATAAAATAAAATAAAATAAAATAAATATATACAGATGCATGCATGCATGCATGCAGTGTATATAATTGGGGTGTATGCACACCGAAAAGATCAATATCATCATCATCTTCTTCTTTTTTTTTATTTATATTTTTTTGTGTTTTTATATTTCCTTGTGGCCACTGCATTTGTTCGTTTACATGAAAAGAAGAAATATGTTTATACCATCGAAATAAATGTGGATATTTTGCTGCTGCTGTTGCTGCTGTTGCTGCTGCTGCTGCTGCTGCTGCTGCTGCTGCTGTCTCCAGCTGCTGCAGTGTATATACATCATCCTGTGTTGCTCTATAGCCACAAATATAAGAACGAGAAGATAAATATAAATTTAATTTATTTAAGCCCGCGTCGGTGTGGAGATCACCGAACTCTGCTGCTGCTGCTGCCATCTTTTTTTTTTTTTTTTTTTTTTTTTTTTTTTTTTTTTTTTTTTTTTTT